CACTTGATGAGTCGTATGTTGTAGAACAAATGGTTGTAGATGAATCAGTATAAAACAATCAGTCAAATGTTGTAGATCAGTCAAATGTTGTATATGAGTCAAATGTTGTAGATGAGTCAAATGCTTTAGATCAGTCAATTGTTGTAGATCAGTCAAATGTTGTAGATGAGTCAAATGTTGTAGATGAGTCAAATGCTTTAGATCAGTCAATTGTTGTAGATCAGTCAAATGTTGTACATGAGTCAAATGTTGTAGATGAGTCAAATGCTTTAGATCAGTCAAATGTTGCAGATGAGTCAAACGCTTTAGATCAGTCAAATGTTGTAGATCATTCAGAACAAATCGATGTAAATGAGTTAGAAACAAACGTTGTTGATCAGTCTCAAATAAATGTCAATGCAGAGAAAAACTGCATAAGGGTCACAGAAAGCGAGGACGACAGTGTGGAAAACAATTTTTCTAATTTTGTTGAAAACGAGTCCGTCCATCATTTTGCTAATGGGTGTCTTCACAATTCTTTTTTAGACGTAAATGACCTCATAGATTGTTTACAAAATTACACTTTTTCTGAAGCCCACCAAACAATTCCATCAGGCATCAAATCTGATGTATATTTCGTTGTTCAGAATGCAAAAAACTTAGAGAAACGTTCAAATGGCGAAAAAAGCTCCTTTTCTGACGACTGCGGTGTCTGGAATACAAATTCAGGTACAACCCCAAAAACTTATTACATAAAAACACCGGCTAGTGAACTGAAAACCGTCTTTCTAAAAAATGGCTTGTTTTGTTTCCAAAAAAAGGTAAAGGGAAAACGACAATATGTCCCTTTAGAGCCCCAACCTGCACAAAATTCTGTTTTGATCTTGTCACGTCACTACACTACTTTGAAATTAGACTCCTCCTACAAAAAAAGGGTTTCTTGGTTAAACGCAGATGACTCAACAAATGTTGCAGTAGTCGAGTATTTAGGCAAATTTCCTGGTTTGGCCCCACATGGAAATTCAAAAAGAAAAACCGAGTATGTTCGAACCCCTTCCTACGTTATGAACGAAATGTCAAACCTACTTAAAAACGGCAAACCAACCGAGGTTTACAACAAACTCTCAATTAAGTATGACGAACTAAGTGGGCCAACAAGTAAACGACAGGTCTATGACAAAAAATTAAACGATACAAAGAAGGACAGACGAACTGAGGACGGACATGTAGTTCATAGACGAAACATAGCCGATCACATAAGCGAAATCGATAAATTAGTAGCAAATGGCTCCTCAATTGTAAAATCAATCGTTAGGGATCAGGGTAAGGCACCATGCCTTATATTGTACACTGACGAGCAGATTGCGGATCTTAAAACTTGTGTTGTACAGGCCACTCAATTTTAGGAATTGATAAAACCTTCAATCTGTGCGATATGCACGTAACAGCCACATGCTACAAACAAGTTAGCGTAATTTCTGACAATACGGGGGACGCACCAATTTTTCTAGGACCATTATTTATACATGACAACAGTGATTTTGAATCGTATAGTAATTTTTTTAATCATCTCCGAACAAAACTAGCAGGGACAGACAAATCAAATCTTGTTTTTGGGTCAGACGAAGAACACGCCCTTGTGAACGCAGTTATCTCAGCTTTTCCCGAATCTACCCATCTACTTTGCAAACGTCATCTTTTTCAAAATACAAAACAGAAGCTGATTGATGACTGCGTTGACAAGGTTGATAGGCAAAAGATTTTAGACATGATTTTTGGAAGTGACGGACTTATCAATGCCGACGATAGTATTTGCTTCGACGCGAAATCCGATGACATTGAAGACGCATCTAGAGAGTTGTCAGGCAAATTTCTAAGGTACTTTCAAAACAAACTTAAATCAAATTTGAAGGATAAAGTGAACAAACCGTTATGTACTGGGTTAGTAGAAAACGCGTGGACAAATAACAATTCTGAGTTTCTCAATCATATCTTGAAGCAGGCAATAAATTGGAAACCAAAACCCCTTTTGGACCTTGTAAACATCCTGACAACTCTCATAGAGGCCCAATTTAAAGACATTAGGAAGGCAATCGTAGGTACAGGACAGTTTAGACTTGCGAAGACCTATGAACACTTTGGAGTAACAAGGACAGTTTGGGTCTCTAAAACAACAGAGGAACGTGACAGACATTACAGACGATTTAGACAATTCTATTTATTCCAAAAGACAAAATGACTGTAACCTCTACCGACGGTACAATGACTGTAGTTCAACCCAGGTCACTAGGCAAAAAGATCGGCCAGCAAAAACGAAAAATTAACGAGAGGACAAAAACATTCAAAAAAACCAAAACAAATTAAATTTTCCGAATGATTCAGCTGGTTAATAGTAACAGTGCGTACGCCGTATCTTGTTGTTGAGATGCCCAGAAATGGGTGGGACTCCATTGTTACTACTAATCTCTTGAAATTCGCATGAAAAAAAGATTTTTCCAGTAAATTAAGCAATCACATGTGCAGAAATAGTCTGCATTTTTTTTATTGCCACACATCTTGTCATCATGATTATTTTTTTTATATGTATTATATATGTTTTTATTATTAATTTTATTGATTTTATGTGATTTAGAATAGTAGCTATGCGTCATGTGTCTGAGACGCTCCCTTATAGTTGCTTAATGGGTTTATATGCTGTATGAATATTTTTTAAATCTATATTTATTCATACATCATTGATATTTTTAGATGTAAATGATGTGATGTTTTGAAATAGTAGCTTCACATATTCTGTGTTTTATTATATATTGCTATCTGCTTTGATGACATGTTATTGACTCACTGTGCACCAGTAATAATAAAGATTATGAACGAATTTCAGCATTTATTTATCATTTTAAGTTTATGAAGTATGAATAATAATCAGTTGTCACCTGATTATTTACAAGAGAATTCATTATTAATTTTCTGCAATATCGAAGATGGTTTATCTTCAATACGAGTTATCGCCCTTTGAACTACTATACGCACCGAGATGCAACGCATGAAAATATTTAATTTTACGAGCAGTTATGCATTAATGAGGAATATGAGCATTATTTTTTATGTAAAACATCATGTAAAATCATATGAAGGGGCATTTTGGTGATTTCATTGGGCATTTCGGTGATTTTAAGGGGCATTTCGGTGATTACCGGGCATTCCGGTGATTCGTGTTACCCGTGAGAGATTGTATATTCGTAAAAAATAGTTCGCATTCATTTGTTACATATATTTCTTTTTCTTGTATATATTGTAAATATAAGACATGCTTAATCTGAAAATCATATCAGCTTCAATATTTACATTCCACATTTTTATAGGACCGTTTGTAGGTCTTCAATTACCTGAAGGTCGATCCGAGAGTCAGGAATCGGGAGTCGGTTGTACTAGTTTTACCGGCCGCCGATTTCATATTTGCTGTAGCAACGAATATACCATCAAAAAACCTGAAAGGTACTCTAACAGATCTTTGTCCGAAACATTCTAAGAATGAAAGTCTGCAGTTATGTAGAAAATTTAAATGAAGTTTTTGATAACACTTATTTAATCCACAGTTTCTCTAAAATCTAATAGTAATTAGTTAAAGTGTTTATAATCGTTTGCACGGTAAGAGGAAACGCGGACTATAGTATGATATCAAGCTCGCGTCAAGTGTCCAATAGCTACGATGTCTTAAGGTAGGTCGCGGGTTTGCTTTTGTCATCAATTTCGGTACACAATTTCGACGATTCGAGCTGTTGTTTTGTGCACATTTGATTATGACTTCAGTTACGTCACAAAGGCGACATTGCATTCCTTCCCTTTTATTTCTCTGAAAATTACTTTAGCAATAGAATCTAGTCCGTACGAAGCGTAGAAAGTACATGTTATTGTCCGTAAACCTCGTAAATGTATGAACCAAGAGTATTATATTGAATTCTGCTCTGATTATACATGTATGTGTAATGTTTAAGAACAAACTAATAAAACATGATAAATGCGATGCAAAATGCAAGGAATAATATATATTGTAAATGATACTAAACTTCTAAAGGTCAATCAAAATGAGTCAATGCTAAATTAAAGATATGGCATGCTAAAAGAAAGTAACCGTAAATTGCTAAGCCGAAAAATTGAAAGGCTCTATGTATGCACGTAATTTGCAACGAAGGGAAGGTGCATAGTCGCCATGGTTACTCATCACAGCCGAAAAAACACCAAATTTGTTATTTTTTAGGATAAAATAAATCCTCAACACTAAAAAATACGGATGAAACTTAATTACATTTGCATTTTCCTCTTTTCTTAAAAATTATTTTGTATTTGAATATGATAAAATCGTTCTCTATATGCAGGCTAGCAAGGAATTAATTTGTCATAGTGAAATGCATTAAACATGTTAAAATAAATTCATACAAACACCTGGCATATCGGACCTTTATGATGCCGTAAACAGATAAAAATATACTACATGTATTACGAAATACAAGTATCAAATACATTTTTTTTTCTATATAACAAAATTAAGCTGTCTATGTATAAGCTGAATGCAAGTATTTTACATTTTGCCGATGAAAAATTGATAAAGAAAAAAAAAAACCAAGAAAGAACAAATGTTTGAGATTTCAGACTATATACTGGCTTGCGATTGATATAAAAAGAACATTGTCTTTAAAAAGTTATCCGACCTTTTCTAAAGAAACTCTTTCGGTTAAATTGTTCTAAAAATGCTATTTTCCTATGTATTTCTATAGTAAAGTGTAAAAATAGCACCGAAAACTATACCATGTTTACAGTAATATAGCATTAAAACCAGAAAATTTAATAAAAATTTCAGATAATATGCGGCAAATTCTAAGGAACATTATATCAGATTTTCAGGATATGTTTTCTCGTAAGAATTTTTATGCAGTAAACCCGCAACCTACCTTAAATCTTATTTTCATATGTTTTGACAATGCATCCAAAGATGTGTGATACATTATGATTTATTTACATAGAACTATCACTGAATGAAGAATCAAAGGGACAAGGCTGCATAAAATGTAGATTATATGGGACTTTACAGAGAAATATTGTTATTTAAACTAAAAAGGTAAGTGCATAGATCTACCGTTATCTAGATATAGTGGAAAACATTTTCAGATTTAAGAGCAAAAAGAAGAATGACATAATAAAGTTATGCATTTATGTAATGTAAGGGCATTCGAAACCAAGGATGTGTATACTTCCCTGTCTTAACATGTACAAGATCTTTTATTCTGTCTAGTGTCTTGTTTTATTTTTAATTTTTTTAGCTCACCTGAGCTGAAGGCTTAGGTGAGCTTTTCTGATCAAAGTTTATCTGTTGTAAATTTTTCATATTTTTATCTTCTTCTCCAGAACCACTAGTAAGACCAGTTTCAACCAAACTTGGCACAGTCAGTATCGGGATTCAAATTTGTTCAAGTTAAGGACCATACCCTCTTGCAAAGGGAGATAATTATGAAATAGTAAAAATTGGGTGGGGTAAGACCACATAAATTTAAAATTTAGATTCTCATCCTAATTTGCTTAAAAATTGGGTTGGGTGGGCAGATTATATTTTTTATTATTGAAAACTGCTCTTCCTACACAAAATTTTCTCATTGTGTTAATGCCAATATGAATAAATTTTATTCTTTACAATATCCATAGAAGATTCTTAAAGTATTTACAGTTTTTATTAATGAATTTTCAAATACACAGGTACGATGCATGCCACACTTCTTCTAAAGAACAGCAAAGTCATGATTAGTCGTGTTACTGTCGTTTCACTCCAAAACCAGAACACGTCGTGGATGAGCGCCCAAAAGATGTTTACCAATGCCTAAGTACAATACAAGTACCCCAAATACAATTTTACAGGTGTCCCAAATTTTCAATCACAAGTGCCAAAAATAAGCATCTCAAGTACCACAAATGATTGTACTTTAGTGTTTGTGATGTGATAACCTTTATGTATTAATATTTACATTTCCAATGTCTTTGTCTGAGGTAAAATTTCAAATAGTAAAAATACTTTATTTCTACATAAATCTACTGGTCCATCGATAGGCGTGGTGAAAAAAAAAATTACGTGCGGGGCGGGACAGATAGAGACAGAAGCGGGGCTTGTAGCACGTGAATTTGCAGAATCAAAAGCATGTAAATATAAGGAATAACTGTCGGATTTTTTGGTTTCGTGATGATGATCAATCGATTGGTTTGTGTGATAATTTTATGCATAAACGCCTTCGGCATTTATGCAAATTATCACGCAAGCCAATCAATTGATCACATCATGAAACCAAAAAATTAGACAGGTATTCCTTAAATACATTAAGCACTTCAACAGTGATATTTTATTTTTCAAACATTTCATTTGAATCTATGCTACCATTGCCTTAATTATGTTTAATTGTGTACAACTGTACAAAATGTTCTTTCATAATTGATTATCGTATATGAACTTCCTCAGTGAACATTGTTTTAAATATTTTAAATTATCAAATTTTAATTATTTCAGTGTGCGCCAAAAACTTTTTTCAGCACTAGCTTAGTCTGGCTAGTAATGGCACATTTTTGCTTGTCCAGAAAATAATCTAAAAACATGATCAAGTAAAAACTAATCAAAAAAAATAAAATTAACTGGAAGGCCATATAAAAACCCTTTAATAAAAAAAAAAACTAACTTCATAATTTATTGTTTCTCATATAATACATGTATTCATGTTTTGGTACAATGTAAGTTGGCTTTATTTAGATAAAATCAGATGTCTTGATCTTTTCTTCATCAACTATGTTTTTCTTTTTTTTCTACTTTTGCGGTTATAAAAAATGTGGTCCTGATTTAAATTATTTAACTATTTACAAGTATATCAATCTTTCATATTGGACTTATATAAATCCTTGCGTAATCAATGCAATCGAATGATCATATGCTTTCTCATGTTATCTCCTATCCCCTAATAGCCTGAGGCATGTTACTTGACCAGGTTGCTGAAGCGAGAAGTGATTTCCTGCCCTGAATTCACACTTTTGCGTGCATTAAATAAACAGAAGGGCAAATCAGTATGCACGAATAAACAGAGCAGCTAGTAAATATCGCCACTTTCGGGCATGTTTATACATTTTTTGGCGAGGAAAGAAGGACATGGTGTTGGAAAAAAGGGCATGACACTGCTCCATGCTAGTTTTCTTCATATTTAACACTCGACATTCCTAAGTGTGCGTTTTTCAGAATCTCGCAACTGGAAATGGGCATCTTCCATGTAAAATTTAAAACCAAAAAATTATATTGTTTAAAGTTTAATGTACCTATCCTTATATTGAGAATTTAATCTTTCATTTAATGTTTGTATTGTTGTGATTCATTAAAATAATAATAAAAAATAAATAATTTGAACACTGAAATTAATTTTATTTTCACACTGGTGAAATAAATTTCCAGACACGATGTCCTGCATGGTTTCAACTTTTACGGACATGTATAAAATCTAGATCGCCGGTAATCCGGCACATTCTGCCAACTCTGCTATTCACAAAATAAAACAGACTTTATAGTCATAAAAAGACATCATTCACAGGATTATATTTTATGAATTTATTATCATATCCTTCAGCAAAGTCAAGGTCTTAAATTATGCTTATAATATTCATAATATGACATATTGAAGACAAATGTTTAGAGAAATTGACAGAATTATTATAATAAAAGATTTTGACCAGAATAATCCATTTCAAGACTCCTGATTCTGCTTGTTTTTTCTGATATGGGGTCATTGGGGTGTCAAAAACCAAAGCGCACGCGGACTCTAAATATAGAAAAAACTTGAAATGACCTAGTCCTGTTTATACCCTCACTTTCTAAAGAAAGTTCGGGTATATTGTTGTTACTCATGTCCGTCCGTCCATCTGTCCATCCATCCATCTGTCACACTTTTCTTTCTCAAACTCCTCTTACATTTTACACAGTAGCCTAATCATCTTTTGGGAGATGGTTGGTGGTGTCATGTAGATGTGCAGTAAGGTTTCGGAAATTTTCATTTTCACCCTGGGGGTCAAATGGGGGTCGAAAAATGACATTTTTTATGCAAAAAGTCCATGGTTCCCTGAACTCCTTTTACATTTTACACAGTAGCCTAATCATCTTTTGGGAGATGGTTGGTGGTGTCATGTACATGTGAAGTAAGGTTTCGGAATTTTCATTTTCACCCTGGGGGTAAATGGGGGTCGAAAAATGATGTTTTTTATGCAAAAAGCCCCTGGTTCCCAGAATTCCTCTTACATTTTACATAGAAGCCATTTGGGAGATGGTTGGTGGTGTCCTGTAGATGTGCATTAAGGTTTCAGAATTTTTATTTTCACCCTGGGGGTCAAATAGGGGTCAGATATTTTAAAAAATATTTAACATGTTTAAACACCCTGGTTCCCAAAACTTACCATATATTTTATGCATTAGCCTTAAATCATGATCATTTGGAAGATGATGGTTTTGTCCTGTGGATGTGTAAATTGGTTTTAAAATTTACATATCAATGTGGATGGCAAATAAGGGCAGGAAAAAAATGGCCCCTCCCTAACCCATGGGGTCATGATTTGTACAAACTTGAACCTACACTTCTTGAGAATGTTTCCATATTAATCATGCTCTTGTTGTTCTTGAAAAGAAGAATTTTGAAGATTTTTTTTCCTTTTATTTCTGTATAAAACTTTGATCCCTTATTGTGGCCTGACCCTACCCTCGGAGGTCATGATTTGTAAAAAAAAAAAATTGAATCTACACTATATGAGGATGTTTCCAAAATGACTAACAAGCAAATTTAAAGAATTGTGCTCCCCTGCTTTCGGTGTCTTAGTGGATAGGATGCCATTATTCATGGCATATTGTGTCAAATATGCACGCCCTATCATATGTCATTCAAAAGTAATTACCAAAGTTAAAATTTTTGAAAATTAGGTAAAAAATGAAGATCAAGGGTAAAAAAAATCATAGCATGCTCAGAAACAACTTGTTACAGGTAATGTACATGTCAAATATGAAAGTCCTATCTCTTCTCAATCAAAAGTTATAAGGAAATATAACATTTTTGAAAAGTAGGTCAAATGTCAAGGTCACAGGGTCAAAAGTCATGATATATTTAGAGAGGTCTTGTCACAGGTAATATACAAGTATAATATGAAAGCCCTATTTTTTCTCTTTCAAAATGATCAATTTAAAATAATGTAAAAACTTTTGAAAAGTAGGTAAAAAATGGTCAAGGTCATGGGGCCAAAAATCATAGTACAGTATATTTGGAAAGTTATTGTCATAGGTAATGTACCCCTTACAGAAAAAACCAAAAGAAAATTATAAGTGTTTTATACTTCACTTATGAGAAACATAGAAGTCACCTATAAGTTTTGAAATTTACTTATAAGTGCACTATAAGTCAAAGTAAGTATAAGTGAGGAACAGATTTTATTAATACTTCACTTATAAGTGAAGATTAGCCACATATCAGTGAATATTTCACTTATACTTCACTTATAAGTGAAGATCAGTATGGTAGTAGCCAGAATAAGTGTGGACTTAGAATTTTTACATTATACTAGACTTCGCTTGAGATGCATTGTGGGTATTCAAGCTAACCAATCAGAAACTTTGTCTCTGCAGAGATAAACAACAAGAATTTGAAACTAAGTTAGTTTCTGTGAAAGGATGTTGTTGGAGATTTCAAATTTATTTTGAGTATGCCTTCACATCAGGTAAACAAGTAGGGTCTATTTACATCATTTTTTTATTTTAACTTCCTTTGCCTGAAATTTTGAATCAATTGACTCAGTTGCTTTCAGATTTCATAATTTTGAAGAAGCCTCAAGGTCATTAAATAAATCTTAATTGATTTCTTTTTGTCCAGCATTTTTGTTTGTGAACTGAAATAATATATAAAGTTTGCATCATCAAAGAATGTCATATGAGAGGGAATTTTTTTTTTCATAAAATGTTAACTTGATTATTTCATCTTAAGTGCAGATGCGTATGTATATTTAAAAAAAAAACTTTGATCATCATGCAACCCTTGCATGATTGGAAGTTCTGTTCTATATTAAGAT